GTTCAGGAGCCCCAAACTTCTTGTCGTTCCACCCTAGGCCTTCCCATCTGCTGGTGGCCCTCCATCTCTGTGCCTTTTGCCACTGGCGTGGCCTTCTCTGCCTTCCCTTCTCCCCCGTGGTCTGCTTCCTATGTGGGTGTGAGCTGTCACCAGTGTCAGGCACTGTGCTGGGGCCTTAGATATGCCTCAGCTCATGCAGCCCTCCTCCCAGCGACCCTGGGAGGGAGGTGGGGACAGGGGTACCATTATCACACAGATGTTTGTTTGGTAATGTGGGACCTGGGAAAGCAGAGCCCAGGCTATGGTAAATTATATGTATTCTTTATATGCCAGGGGCTGGCAAATTACGACCCACGGGCCGGATCTGACCCGGGGCCTGTTTGGTATGGCCTTGCAGGCTCAGAATGGTCTTTAAAGGGTTATAATAAAGAACAAGAGTGTGCAACAGAGACTGAATGAGGCCCTCAAACCTAAGATATTGACTATCTGCCTTTATAGAATAAATGTGGCGAGCCCTGGGATACAATGTGCAGAGTTCACTACAGATTCAGACCACCCTGCCCTGAGTTCTAGATCCTCAGTTTCCTCATCTGTAAAATGAGAATAATCTATAAACCAGGGCTCTCACATGGACATTGGAATTAAATGAAGTGAAGACTTTAAAGCACCTAACCTCGAGTAGGCTTCTTTGGAAGTATTGAGGGAAGATGTTTCGGGCCTTTTGCCAGGCTTCTCGACCCAGTGGGCATGAAGGCCTGGCATGAGGCCTCTGGCTGCCCCGGCCTGAGTGCGCTTCCTTGGAGCATGTGTCCTTTGGCAGGAGGAAAGGGACCTGCCAGCTGCCCATCGCACCGCGTCCTGCTGGTAGGTCAGCTCTGCCTTCCTCCCACCCCCACTCCTGCTGACCGTCAGCTGGTGCCACTCACCAGGGCCTGGCATGAAGCCCACGCCAGGTGCCGAGCTGGGCCTGAAGGTACCAAGCCTTCCACTCTCCCACCTCGTGCCGCAGAGCCACCTGGCTGAAACTCCCGCATAACTGTGGGAGCTGCAGCCTGGGGTCCATCCTCTCCGTGTGCGTTTCCTCACTCGCCGGCTAAACAGGCAGACATCTGTGTTTCCCCTAACGCAAGCTTTTGGCCCGTGATTGCCTTCCTACCAGGGAAAAGGAAAGGGAAGTCCCGGGCCAGCCAGCCTCCCTCTGTGAAAGAATGGTCTGTAAAGCAGATTTTCAGTGGTAATGAGTGAAATGAAGAGATTAAAAAATTCAGATCATTGAAAAATCAAAAAGAATATTTTCCAATCTGGATAGGAATAGGTTTTCAATTCTTACAAGCACTGGAAGAAATTATAAGGTAAAAGATCAACAAATTTTACTACATGGAACCATAAAACTTATGATTTATCTCAAAAGACTCAAAACAAAATTTTAAGTTAAACTGAGAAAAAGTATTTATGCCAGATATGGCAGAGAAAGAATTAATATTCTTACAATAAAAATCTTTAAAACAACAAGGCTCTTAATTGATAATAATAATAGCTGATATTTATATAGTACTATGTGCCAGGTACCATTCTAAGTATTTTATACATACTTACTCATTTAATCCTTGTAAACAACTTTATGATAAAGGTACTATTATTATCCCCTTTTAACTGATGAGGGAACTGAGGCACAGAGAGGCTAAGTAACTTGCCCAAGGTCATTCAGCTAATAAATGGAGGAGCTGGGATTTGAACCCAGCTCATCTGGCTTTTGGGTCTGAGCACTTAAATCTTCTATACTAAGTAGGAAAAAGATATGAAGCAGACAATACACAAAAGAGGAAATACAAATATCTGAGAAACATAATTAATTTCCAATTTCAGTGGTAATCAAAAAAGTACAAATTAAAACAATGAGATACCATTTTTGGTCCTCGAATTAGGAAAGATTTTTAAACATAATAACTAATAAATACTGTCAATGCTGGAGTGAAACAGACACCCCCCCAGATTGCGCTGGTTACAGTCCAGTGGCCTTTCTGAAAGGTGCTCTGGCAGTGCTCAGAATTGAGGAGTCTCAAAAAGTCCATACCCTTTGACCAGGAATTCACATTCGAAGAATCTACTTTGAGAAAATAATTAGAGAGATGGACAAAGATTCATGCATAAAGATGTTCATAGGAATGTTATACAAAATAATGAAAAATTAGAAACAACCTGATAATAGGATACAGGTTAAGGAAATTGTTTAATCTCCACAATGGGCAGTCAGGCAGCATTTTACGTAAATCTATATAACAAAAGACACCGTAAACAAACTTCTGAGAGGAGACACTTGCAATGCATGTAACAACAAAGAATATATAAACAAAAGAATACACAAAACATACAAATCAATAAGAAAAAGATAAACAACCAAAGAACAGAAGAGGCAAAGAATGTCTACGTGCAATTCACAGGAGAGGCAACATAGGGATAATAAACAAAGTGACGCTCCTTCTCACTGTTCGTCAGGGAAATGCAAATTCCTTACGTATACTTATCACAATGACAGGAGTCTAACGGCAGAGAGAGAGGGAAACAGATTCATATCCATTGCTAATGGGACCAGAAATGACTGAAGCCACTTGGGAGAGCTATATTTGGCCACACCTAGTAAATCCCGCTACACTCACACTTGTGGGAATCACCCCTGCGGGAACACCAATCTGTACAAGGAGACATGTTCAAGGATGTTCATTGTAGTGCTGTTTATAATAGCAACAATATTAGTATTGTTGTATAATATTATTGTACATTATTATATTTCCAGTAAAATAACAACAGCTATCATCATTAAAGAGCTGTCCATCAGAAGGGAAATGGATAAGTAACATATGATTTATACGTAATAGGATACTATGCACAGTTCAAATAACTAGATCTAGAACTATCAGCTCAGATAAATTTCAAAAACAATGCTGAGTGGAAAGAGCAAGTACCAAAAAGGATACATAGTTAAGTGATACTATTTATGTAAATCTTTAAAACAAACTAAAAATATTACATAGTATTTAAGGGCATATATAGGTAGAAAAATATAAAACAAGCATGCAAATAATGTACACCAACTTCAAAGTAGTGGTTACTCCCAGGAAGGAGGGGATGGATGGAGGGGCAAGGATGGGGGTGGGGGTTAAGCTGTGTCTTCGTGATTGACTGGTTTTTTTAAAGGGAAAGGTTGAAGCAACTATGGCAAAATGTTTACTAATGTTCTAAATCTGGGTGGGGATATGTATCTTTCTGTTAAATTATTTTTGTACCTTTCTGTATGCTGAGCTATTTCAAAATTTAAAATTATTTTTAATTTACTTTTTGAACGATTTGCAATTTCATGGAGAAATTTTAGTGTTATAATATTAAGGGATAAAAGCAGGACATGGGGCCAGCCCAGTGGCGTAGCAGTTAAGTTCTCGCGTTCCACTTCGGCAGCCCGGGGTTCGCCGGTTCAAATCCTGGGCGTGGAGCTACTCACCACTCATCAAGCCACGCTGAGGCGACGTCCCACATAGAAGAGCCACAACTCTATGACTATGATACACAGCTACGTGCTGGGGCTTTGGGGTGAAAAAAAAGAAAAAGAGGAAGATTGGTCACAGATGTTAGCACAGGGCCAATCTTCCTAAAATAAATAAATAAATAAAAATTAAAAACATAAAAGCAGGACAAAATATACACAGATATTTAAAAATTAAATGTTTGAAAGAGATATCCAGAATATTCATAGTAGTGGGCAAGATTCCGGAAGTCAGCTGTCAGCTTTTCTTTACACTCATCCCATATTTTCTGTTTTTTCCTTTTTTGCCATGAAGATGTATTACTTTTATATCCATAAAAAAAAATTTCTAAACAACTACTGAAAAATGTGAGTGAGTTTAGACCCTAGGAAAGAGTCCACAACCTAGGAAGAGGTGATGTGATGGAGTGGAGCATCGTGGACTGTGGGAGGGACCTGCGCTTGAATGCTGGCTGGAGACTTTCTGGCTGTATGACTCTGAGTTCCTTCAATCTTTTGTCTAGTCGACAAACCCTTACTGACCACCAACTGTGTGCCAGGCCCCATGCTAGAAATACAGCAGTGAACAGAACATGCACGTTCTTTCCCACTGTAGAGCAGATGGGCTAGTAAGGAGTGGATAGTAAACCCGTCACCACACAAGTCACCTGCCTGCTGCCCGTGAGGGGAGAGCACAGGGGCAATGGCGGGAGTCTAAGTTGGAGTGGGTGGCCGCGAGTCTGGCCTCTGAGCAACATTTAAGCTGGAATCTAAAGCATGAGGACATCTGGAGCCCAGTAAAGCGAGGACTTCGAGAGAAAGGAAGGCCCTACAGGGCTTATTTAGGGAACTGAAAGAAGGTACGGGGAGAGTTGTGCAAGGGAGGGCAGCAAGATAGTCAGGAGCCAGGTCACTGAGGGCCTCACAGGCCAAGGAAAGGCCTCCTTAAGAGCGGTGGTAAGTCATCGAACAGGTCTAAGCAGAAGAGTGACGTGATTAGATGGCAGTGTCAGAGGTCACTGTGATACTCTTTGAAGATGGAGTGGATGGTGAGCAGCCCTGTAGTTAGCCGGCGATGGGCATGGCCCAGATGCAAGAAAACGGCGTCGGGACCAGGGCCATGGCAGTGGAGACGGAGAGACGTGAGAGGATGTGAGAGGTGTTTGGAGATAGAGTCGGCAGGTCTTAGATTATGTGTGTGTGTGTGTGTGTGTGTTGGGGGTGGCAGTGAGGGAAGGGCCAAGGGGGAAAGCCAGGTTTGGGGCAGGAACAGTTGTGGGTTGGTGGGAGTGGGAAATAGGGAACAGGAGCAGACCCAGGAGGGCAGGGGTGGAAGCAGGGATGGTGAGCGTGCCACCAAGTGTCACTGAGCTTTGGTTTCTTCCTGTGAACTGGGGTTATGATGACACTGTGCCCCCAGGGTGAGTGTTTCAGCCCTGTTATCCCAAACCGCATCCACAGCAGTCTTCCGTCTCCTTCACAGGCGGCGCATGTTACTCCTGGGGCTGGAACGAGCATGGCATGTGCGGGGACGGCACCGAAGCCAATGTCTGGGCCCCAAAGCCCGTGCAGGCTCTGCGGTCGTCATCGGGACTCCTTGTGGGCTGCGGGGCTGGCCACTCCCTGGCCCTCTGCCAGCTGCCAGCCCTTCCTGCACTGGGCCAGGGCCCCATGGTCACTGACGATTCCCCAGATGCCACCAAAGACGCCAAATCTCAGGAAGCCATCGACAAAGAGAGAAACTGGAAGGAAAGACAACCAGAAATTTCTACCCAAAGCCAATCTGACAGGTGCAGAAATGGGGGTCTTGTGACAGAGACTCTTCAATAAAGTGGCTTTTTCTACCCGAAGTGTTCCCAGAGAATTGCTTTGTCAGGTCTTGGGGTGGCCTGAGAAGGCTTAGGAGGCACTGTGGTGGGGCTGACCACAGACCAGAACAATGGAGGCTGCCTGCCCAGTGTCTGGGGCTCGAGGAGACAGACATCCTTTCTGCCCAGCAGATGAGAATGAGGCGTAGGTCCTCACCAAAGGACATGCAAAGCTAAAACCCAGCAGGAAGGCTCCAGCCTGTCCCTACCTGGTGGGAACAGAAAGCCCGGCCCTATCCCCAGTGGTGGTTTTGATCCAGCGGCCTTTGATTCAGGCCACGCTGAGAGCAGCCGCAGCCTCTCCTGGGCTGTTCTTCTCAGGGCGCAGAGCACGTAGTTTGCTGGTTCAAGGTTATCAAGACACCCTGATCAGCAGGCTGGATACTTGGACAGGAAGAGTTGCTTGTCTTGGTGACTAGGACCAAGGGAGAAAGCCCTGGAGTGGGGGTGGAAGGGAGTGGAGATGAGTAAGTGGAGGAAGGGACAAGACACCTGGGAAGACCCCGCAGAGGAGACCCCTGGGACAGACAAAAGAGTGTAGAACCAGTGAAACTCGCAGAAAATTACTGTCTTCATCTGAGCCAGGCGGGACTCTGGAGCCAGTCTGTGACTGTAATTGCCAAGCTGTGCAGTGTCAGGTGAGGGACAGGCCACAGCATGGGCAGGGGAGTCTGTAGGGATAGCGACATCAAGACCCTAACCCTGACGTCCGCCCCCAGGCCCCGGCCTCTGCCGGACGAGGGCCCTCAGGTGAGATGGGGACCAGGCCAGACCCCGGGCCCCAGGCTTCCCCTGGTGGCGGCTATGGCTCTGGGGGACATAGTACCTTTCTCTCTGCTGTGAGCGGTGGCAGGCGTTTGACCAGAGGGCCTGAGAGAGTGGCTCTCCCTGGGGGACTGTGTGACCGTGTCCCCAGCTAGCCAGCCAGCAGTGTGGCTCCTCCCACACTGCCTTCCCTTTGTGACTTGGGAGAGGGTTTGGATCTGTGAGGGCTAGGCTCCAGTGGCTTTAGGAAGTTACAAAACCTCAGGCCATCAAAGCTGGAGGACCTGAAATAACCATGTAGCGTAGTGGCCTTCAAACTGCATTCGGTAGAGCCTAGAAGTCTCTGGAGAACTCAGTGGCACCCTGTGGGCTGTGGGTAAAGGAAGGCCGAGTAGACAGAGGCCCGGGTCCCACCCTCCACCCTATTCACATCAGCTTTATTTTAATCTATGTTATATATTCGGCTTCACATAAGATTTCATTTGACAAGGGGTCTGGAAAAAGTTTAAAAACCACTGATCTTATCCAATATTTCATTGTTCATATGGGAAAATGGAGGCCTAAAAAGGGGAAGGGACCATCTCGAGGCCGTACACCTCACTCCTGGCCCAGGGTCCTGATTGGGAGGTGACCCATCCAGGGCCTTGAGCCAGACAAGGAGGGGGCATCAGGGGTGGGTTCAGCTCAGGAGGGTGGGGATGAGGACAATCCTGAGCTTCCCGGGCCTGAACTTAGGGGCCTCCCACAGCCATCAGCCGACCTTGAACACAGCACATGGAGTCCTGCTCCTAGCATTGCACCCTAGAAACACTGCTGCCCTGGCCAGCAAATCCCTTGGTCCGCCACCTCCCAGAACCAGTGGAGGCCAGAGCAGCCTCCAAGCACTTCTGGAATGGGAGGAAGGACATCTCCATGGACTCTGAGTTGGTCTTGCCAAGGTGACCAAGCCCTCAGATATGGAGCAATCCATCGGTGGCCCATGCCAGAGCAAGCCCGTTACTGGCCACCACCCACCGTCCCAGGCCAAGTGGTCTGCATCAGACACAGGCCGGAAAGCAGTCCCACGTGGCTAGTACCCAGGCCCTCCTCGACAGACTTTCCCCTCACGAGGAACCAACGTTGACGCTCTCTCGCAGCATGGCAGTGCCAAGGCCCCTACCTCTTGCAGCGCCTGCTGGAAGAGACCCAAATCCCAAGTCCTCTGCTGCTCAGCCCTAGTGCCTCTCTGGAGACCTCCTTGTGGGCACAGGAATGAAGCGTCTCGGGGCTCCTTTCCCGCCTGCCGGGGTCAAGTGACATGTCAGCCCTAAGCCTCAGAGCCTCACTCAGAAGCTGAGTCAGACTTTGTTGGAAGCATGCAGGGCACAGGTAGTCCACACATGGAGGACTGAATGGCTCTTGGCGCCAGCAGACACCACAGCCCGTCCCCTCAGCTCGAGTTCCTCCACATCGCCCTGCTGACAGCAGCAGACGGCTTCTCCAAGTCAGTTCGCCAGCAGGATCTGATGAGGGTCTGAAAGCTCCAGGGGGCGAAGGGCTGTTGACTGTGTCTCCCAGACTTTCTTCGGGACTCTTTGATCCCTACTGGTGGTTCTCAGACTTGTGGATGTCCGAGCCCCTCATTCCTGATAGACCCTGAGCTCTTCAAGGGCAAAGGATCAGGGCTGTGTCGACCCGGAACCCCTTCCCCAAGGTCAGGTCCTCTACAGAGGAAGTGCCCAGTAAATGAATCAACTGGTCAGTCCACCCTTGGGGTCACTGTGGGTTGGGAGGTTAAGTGAGTGGGTACTTGATCCCTCACCCCCCACCCATCCTCTGCTTTTATCTTGTACAAATGTTTGATAACCATGCTGTGGATGTTGTAAGCATCTGATAGTCAATTAATGTGGATATTGTTCACCTGGTTAGCTAATGAGCCATAGGAGCCAACTTGAGAAATACCCATTCGTTTTTAAAAAAAATTTTTTTCTGATAGACCAAATAAATTGGCCTTCACATTCTTCCTGTGTGAGAAGGAGGAAAGGAAAATGAAGAGGGGAATGGGACCCCGCTGTGTGCTCACAGGTCCTGGGCCTGGCTCCTGGAGTGATTGTTGACGCCCGCCCACGTACGAGGTGTTAGTGGGATGTTTACACCCAGCCTGCCCCGCACGCTGTCCCCTCCTGATCGGAGGCACCCCATCTCCCCTTGACACCTCACCCCCTTTGATCGCAGTGGGCCATCACACCACGACTAGATGAGACTGTGCTTGGGAATGGTGAATCCAGGCCTGGGGCTCAGAGTAAAGCCCTCCGCCATGCCCCCAGGCAGCCGCAATGGCTGAGTGAAGTGACTTAGTGACAAATCGAAATTGGGGTTCTGTCATACCCATGGCACAAGTTAGTCGGGAAGTGGTGGGGGTGTTAGAGGGAGGGAGTTCCAGGCCCTGAGGTGCGTATGTGTAACCACTGCAAGTGTAGAATTTCAGTGACGGAGCCCAGAGAGCGTGAGAGCCCGGAGAGGGGCGGCTGGCGGCCGTGCGAGCCAGTGTAAGGGGCTTCAGCTTCCTTCTCAGGGCAGCAGGTGTCTGAGCGGGAGAGTGAGGTGGTCAGATGTGTGTATGGAAGGCTCGGAGCAGCGTGTGAAGTGGCCCTTCTGTCATACCCATGGCACTTCGTGAAGGAAGGCAGGAGGCCAGGTCCTGAGGGTCCTGGGATTCAGGACCAGCAACTCTAGTGTTCCCATCAATTCCACCTCCAGCCCCCGGAAGGCACTGAGACAGCTTAACCTGAGCTCTGGAGTCAGACCACCTGGGTTAAAATCTTGGCTTCATCATTCATGGACTGTGCAGCTTTGGGCCAGTTACTTTACCTCTCTGTACGTTGTTCTCTTGCCTCTAAAATGGGCATGTTGAATTATTGTGGGCTATCAGTAGACAACTTTTCTCAGATGCCTTGCACACGGCAGATGCTCAGTGCATGTTAATCCCCTTTCACCATTGGCTGCTGTGTCCCTGAAAACCCGTGTTCCAAATGGCTTTGTCTTGAGTCCCGCTTGAGTCCACTAGAGGCACTTATGGGGCCGATCCAGGTGGAGGGAACATACCCCGCTGCAGCAGCTGAGGCGGCTTGGCTTCTCCATCCTGAGACTTGCGCATGACTGTCACATGCACAGCGTGGAGCTGGCAGCCCTTTGGCTGCATCACCCCTGGGCAGAGGCCTTGCCATCTTCACTGCTCCACTGATCCCACCCACTGGTTTCCAGACTGCACAGGGAACCGGGACATTGAGGCAAATGCTTAGAGGGGATGAGAAACTGCTGGATGAGAATAGATGAAGGCACCCACCTTCAGCCCCCCACCATAGGATCGTTGACTCAGGCCGTGCTGGGGGGCCTCAAGGGAACTGAAGTCAAGGGGAGACTGGCACCACTTGTTTGTGGCCCTGGGCAGAGCACTCCCCTCCGTGTGCCTCAGTTCCTCATATGTAAGATGCTCAGAGGTCGACCACCATGTCCATTGGGACTTTTCCACCTGAACATTCCTGGATTCTCTAATGGAAAAGAATCAGAACCCTAGTCCCCCACTCTACCCCCGACCCAAACCAAGTGAACAACCCAAGCAAATCAAGATCCCTAGGACAGGGCTCCACCCCTTCCAAGATGCCCCCAGGCTGAGTGAGGGGTATGTGATGAGGTGGTCCAACAGACGGTCTAGCAAGGATGCAGCTGGGCACCCAGACCTGTCAGTCAGACCCCTGCCTCTGGCTCCATCAGATTCAAGAATGTTCCTAGGAAGGAGGTGACTGTGGTCTGCACGGGGGGCTGGGAGCTCTGACATGGCCAGATTCAAGGAGTCATGAATATGGCGTGATTCACGGAGAAGTTTCTGTGTTGGTGAACCTTCCCGAGGATGTGTTCACATTAGGTCAGGTCCTTATAGACACTATCCCTTCTGAGAGCTGCCTCCTCCCCGGCACCCAACAGGATCTGAAGGTGGGGGGTGTCCAGAGGACAAGGTCTTTCTGAGGGCCTGGCTTCCCCCCAGTACGAGTACGGCCAGCTCCTTGGGTGGGTCCTTGAGACCAAGGAGCCAGGGCTCAGGCTTCCCCCGCCCGGCCACAGCGTGCCTGACCAGAGGCCCAGGACCAAATCGCGACACTGCCTGAGGCAATAAAAACCCAACTCCGTGTGTGCTTCATCTCAAAAGTCAGCTTTTTATTGAGGGCCAGGGCCCG